CGTTTGAAAAAAAAATCCCCCCCCCCCCCCCAAACGCTGGTTTCAAATTATGTTTAAACATGTTAATTGCAGTAGTGTTAGCTGACGCATTATCAAAAGTACTTGTTAAAACTTTATCTTCTATCCCATAAAACCCAAAAATTTCCATTATTGTACTAAAAATAGATGTTGCATTATGAGGATATGGACATAAACGAAAACTGATTATTCTTTTTTGTAAAACCCAATCATCATCAACGTAGTGCGCTATGACACATAAATATCCAGTTTTATTGCACCCCTCCCACAGATCAGAAGTGCAAGAGACAGTAGCATTAAAAGTCCTAAAATTATCAACAAGAGATTGTCTCATTGCATAAAAAACTTTCATGCAATCAGAACGAGTTGTGTTTCTACTTACCCGTTTAAATTGTGGGCACAAGGCTGTCTGGATGAATTCTTTGAATGAGCCATCATCTGCAAAAGAAAGAGGCAATTCGGCACTAGCTAGAAATTTAGCTAGTGCCTCACGAGCACGTTGTGCATCGTATGTAAAATTTTGTAACCCCCGTGATGTGAGTGATAGTGTTTGTTGGCAGGAGTCCACAATCCTACCTTGGTGCAACGGTAGACATACTTTTCAATGTCTATCCAGATGACCAGTACCCCTACTATTTTATTAGAAAAGTACTTTTTACAATATTTACATACCGCACGAATTTTCATCTCACCTGTTGGAGATGAGAAGTTGAGAGTGAATTGTTGTGTGACATTTATAGTGGAATTAAGGAGTATTTATAGGGGATTTTGGGGTGAATTTCTGAATTTTGAGCATTTTAGCCGTTGGGGCCCAACGTCCGGCACGTGACGGGCCTCTCGTTTGGCCTGTCACGTGCCAAACGGGAGGCACGTGAAGGGCCCAACGGGAGGCCTGTCACGTGCCGTGCCAACAGGCCCGCGAAGGGCCCCTTGGACCAAATGAAATGGGCTGTTTCATGGGCCGTTTCGCGGGCTTGGGCCGGCCCGAATTAGGGCTTGGGCCGGGCCGAATAAGGACCGTGATTCTAAGCTTTTTTCTCGCGTTCATTCCTTTTTAGCTCTTTCATTTACAAAGTTCAATCAAGTTCTATCAATTTCTAGAAAATGGTCGCACCAAACTTCCCTGATTTCACTGCTCTTCCTGAGCTTGGTGATGAGGCATTTTTTTAGGATGAAATGATGCCTACCAACCCTAACCCCATTGAACTAGAAAATGCTCCGGTGGATAATGCTTCAGTACACAACGAGGAAGCTGAAGAACGCAGCAGAGGAAAAAGACCGCGAACTTCTCCGGCATGGCAGCATTTCACTGAGGAGCCCCGACCAACCTCTACGAGTTTGGGCCGCGGGCTGAGAAGTTGAGGCCCAGCCCTAGCCTATTACACGTGCCGTGCCGGCACGGCCCGTAACAGTAGCGAACAGGGCTGTGCCGAATCAGGCACTATTGCGGGCTGGGCCGGGCCGTCCATGGACGGCCCGGCCCATTTGACACCTCTAGTTTAGATGAAAAAGGTACTTATTATTGCTAGTCGTAGATTTGAAAGGAAAATTTCATATTGATACCTTATGTTTTAGCATAATTATCTTTTAATATTATGTGTTTTTAATAATTCTAAATTAGTATCTTGATGTTTTAAAAAATCATTTTTTAGTATCTTAAGGTTATTTTTAGAATGTAAAATGTCAAAATTACCCATCTCATTAATTACACAAAAAACTAATAATAAATTTAGAAAATTTCTAAAAAAATTTTAAAACATTTAAAAATTAAAGATTAAAATAATGCTTTAAATTAAAATAATTTTTTCAAAATTTATTAGTTTTTTGTAAAGTAATTAGAATGGTACATTTGACATTTTACATTCTAAAAATGACTCAAAGTACTAAAAAATAACTTTTTAAAACGTTAAGGTATCAATTTAAAATTACTAAAATTACAAGGTACCAAAAGACAATCACACTATAACACATGATACCAATATAAAATTTTTCCTAACTTTGAATTATAGCTCGTATTGGTGGACAACTGTAGAACTAGTATGTTTGAATGAAAATAGAGATGCAAGAACAGGCCAGGCCGGACCGTTCTCCTTAGGCCCACGCGGTCCGCGGGTCGGGCCGGGCCTGGCTGGCCCGTATAAGAATGACCTCGGCCCAGCCTACACCACGAGCCAATTTTACGTGGGCCAGGTTAGGCCGTGCCGCAGACCAGGATGGGCCGTGCCATGGGCCTTGAATGGGCTGACCCACTCAAGGTCCATCATGGGTTTAGATGGGCCAGCCCATCTAAGCATGCAATTTTTAATTTTTTACTTTTGAATTTTTAAACAAATTAACAAATATATAAGTTCGAATAGTCAATAGAAATATGAAAAAAGATATTTTACTTACGATTACCTCATTAAATAAAAACTTTTATAAGAAAAACCGAGTGGGACAAAATGTTAGTAAGAAAAAAAAGAGTATAGTCAGGATAATTATACATAAGATGTTTACAAAATTACTAAAAAAAAGAAAAAAAAAAAACATGACGATATTATGGGCCTAGATGGGCGGGGCTGGGCCGGCCCATTATGGGCCGAGCTTGGGCCTTACCCATGATTTTTCATGGCCCGATATATGTTGTCCAGCCCAGCCCACCAATATTTATGGGTGGGGTCATGCCTTGAACAGTGATGGGCCGTGCCGGCCCAGTCCATCATTGTGTCAAGATGGGCCTGGCCGGCCCACGAGCCCCGACCCATTGTTGCATCTCTAAATGAAAATGTTGCATTTATGTAGAAAAGAATTATTATTATTATTATTACATTTTGAGAATTATTATATAATAACAAAATATATATATATATATATATTCAATTCAATATAACTTAAAAGTCTAAAAGTAAACATCAATAAAAGGAACAATAGACTTTCTTTTTTCCCATAACGAGAACATAAGTACGGAAAATTGGGATGGATGGTGGTTCCTTCACACATCACAAATATATTAACCCAAAATTTTCTTAATTAAAGGAGATGGCCACCCTTCTATGTCCTTTCATAGTTTTCCCATCGTGTCCTCATCTTCTTTCTCTTCCTTCTTGTCTGTTTCTTCTCCCTCGGTCACCCTATTTCTAAG